TATATTTGGGAATTTTGTAATTTATGCAATTTAGGTACTGTTCCAAAGATCATTGTGACAATATTGTCAGTGTTTAGAAAGAGTTTGTTAACCACAATCCACTTTTCTACCTCTGCGAACTGGTCTTGGAGAACAGCCTCAAGCTGCAGTAGATTGGGTTTACTAGCGTGAATTACAGTGTTGTCTGCATACATATGTACAGTTGAGGCTTTGGACACGTTAGGCAGATCATGTATAAATAATGTGAATTGTAGGGGGCTGAGAATGGAGCCTTGAGGAACACCACACTTAACCGGGAGAGAGAGGGAGGCGCTATCAGAATAATTCACACATTACAATTGATCTTATACATTTGATTGAAGCCAGGTTAACAGATGAACACCAATACCTGAGTTTTTAAGTTTTTGCAAAAGAATACCATGGTCTACCATGTCAAAGTCCTTGGCAAGATCAAGGAAAATAGCTCAGGTTAATTCTCATTGTTCCATGCCCGTTTGGGTGTCATTGTAAAACCATTAAAAGGGCAGTCGTAGTTGAGTGATTTGGATGAAAACCTGATTGATCAGGAGTCAGGTAGATTGATTGTTGATAATATTCAAATAGTTGCGTGTGAATGCATTTTTCCAAGATTTATGACAATACGAGGAGGCAATGATATTGCACGATAGTTAGATAACAAAGTATTGTCACCACTTTTATGGATAGGTACTACTCTCGCATTCTTCTAAAGTTTTGGTATGTATCCAGACACCAGGCATTCATCGATAACGGTAGTGACATGTTTAGCAATTGCCAGCGTACTGAGCTTCAGCAACATCGCTCTGATTTGATCTGGTCCACACTGTTTTTTTTTTCATTTTTAGATTAAGGTGATGGGATAACTTAAATTTTTTTATTTAAGAATTAAGATGTTTATTAATGACACTAACAGTGGCCGGTCTAAAATTGAATTTCTCTATATGAGGTTTTTGCAGATTTAGCAGGGCCTGATCTGCATTTGTAGTCCGAGAACAAGTGTAATTCATTATCTTAGCAATCAGAGTGGTGATAAATCCAACAAAATCATTGTTAAAGGCATTTGCTATTTCTTGATGATGTTGCAGGGTTTGGTTGTCCATTTTGACAGTGGCGGGTTGGGAGTTGATTGTGGGGGTATGTATGTTACTTATGATTTTCCAAAAGTTTCTTGGGTCTGATATGTTATTGTTAAGATTTTCACTGAAATATTGAGCCTTTGCCATTTTGGTTTGTTTTGGGAATGCATTTCACCATTGTCTGTAAGTACAGTGATCGTTCATGGAGCCAGTACGCTTGAACTTTGACCACAATGAATCTCTAAACTGTTACGTTTGAATGACGTCAGCTGTAACCCAAGGCAGATATGTCCCTTTTATTCGCACATTACGCTTGTAAAATAATCACACTTTTTATAATAATAAACACATCCACAGAGAAATGGGTAAAATCAAAGCATATCAGATAAGACTACTCAAAATAAGCAGAATCTCATATTGATAAAACACTGGATTTTTCTTTGTCTTTATGTTTACGCAAGTTGTGTTGTGTGTGTCAAGTGTTTACCAATCTTGGTAATAAAGTTTAGTAAAGCAATTAGCAGCAGCACCACAAGAATGCAGCCAAGTGTGCTTTTCAAGAAGAAGGATGTAAGGGAGACTGGTTATTCAAAAGATGATGGCAATTGAACCAATTGGGGTGTCATCCATCTCCGCAGTGTTTTCACCTGCAGGCAGCAGCACTATGGGGAAGACTCAGCAACAATGTCACCAACTCAGGAAAGAAATGTCTTGCACACCACTGAAGAAGAAAATCACTGTATTCTATTCAAAAACAAAGCAGAGGAAAGTAGTAGAGTAGATTGGTTAGTGCAGTCAGAAGATGTCAGATCCTACAAAAATTAGTCATAGACAGGGGTTTACTAAAGCACCCTTACAACTCCAAGTACAAGGAGCAATGTAGCCACCAGCAACCTTGTATCCTCTAGACCAGCGTTTCCCAAACCAGTACTCAAGACCCACTAACAGTCCAGGTTTTGTTAGTATCTCCATTGGAATATAACAGGGAAATACATAAATCCTGGACTGTTGGTGGGCCATGAGGGCTGGTTTGTCACACACCGACCTATGGACTGGCAATTAGATACGCGGTGTCACCCAGTCCATCCGATAAGAAGTATATACTTACCGTGGTGGACTACACTACCCACTACCCCAAAGCAGTTGGCCAAGATGGTAAAGGAAAATCTCCAGGTGGCCCAGGGGCAACATAAGGTCTGGTACGATTGGGCTGCTCACCAACATACGTTCCGGATGGGCCAAAAGATCCTGGTGCTAAAATCTACCAAGCAAGATAGGTTACAGGCACAATGGCAAGGCAATTAGATACCACGTATCTAATTGCCAGCTGTGCTGACGAAAGGATCCGAAGATCCTTCCACATTCATATTTAAAATGAATATCAGGAAAGGCAGGAAGACATAGCTCTATGTTCCCCAGCCACAGACAACCCCGACAGTCTCCCCCTACCCTACCTCTTGGAGAGGGATTCTCAGACTGACCTCCTCAGCCAGGTAAAGCAAGGGTATCGATTAACATCTGTAGAGAGGGATCAGGTCTTTCAGTTACTAGAAGGCAAGCGACAGACCTTCTCCCAAGAACCCGGGTTCACCACTCTAACCACTCATAGAGTGGAGACTCCTGGGCTGGCCCCCTTTAGGCAACCACACTACCATATTTCTGAAGCCGTCCACGAGAGAATGCGGGGAAAATACAGGAAATGTTTAAACTAGGTGTTATTGAACCCTCAGATAGTCCGTCGGCTTCACCGGTCCTCGCTTCCAAGAAAGATGGAACCATCCGGTTCTGCATGGACTACCGGCGACTAAACAACCAGACCGTGACAGATGCCTAGTCGATGCCCTGGGTAGATGAACTCTTAGATCGTATAGCTAACGCTATATGACCACCATAGATCTCTGCAAAGAATACTGGCAGATTCCCCTGGCCGTGGAGGCTATCCCCAAGTCGGCCTTTCTCACTCCGTTTGGCTTGTAACAATTTAAGGTCATGCCATTCGGGATCAAGAACGACCCGGCTATGTTTCAGCGCTTCATGGATAGGGTCCTTGATGGCTTCCAGGATTTTGCCTGTGCGTACCTGGATAACATTGCAATCTACAGTGAGTCCTGGGAGGAATATTTAGTTCATGTAGGGGCAGTGGTGGATCAGATTCAGGCTGCTGGCCTGACCCTGAAGCCAGACAAATGCCACCTTGGAATGGCTGAAGTCCGGGCGTGGTGTGGGAAAAAGTGACCAGAACATGCTAAGATTGAAGCGGTTGCTAACTGGCCCACACCTCGCACCAAGACCCAACTATTGGCCTTCCTATGGACCGCCAGGTATTATAGACGCTTTGTGCCTGACTACAGTACTATTGCCAAGCCCCTGACTGACCTGACCAAGAAAAGCTTACCCAGGCAGGTCCTGTTGTCTCCCACCTGTGAAGCTGCGTTTCAGTCTCTAAAGAAAGCATTAATTCATACCCCTGTCTTGGCTGCCCCAGTCCCTAACAAATGTTTTATTGTCCACACAGACGCTTCCATGTTTGTGCTGGGGGCAGTTCTAAGCCAAGCTGGAGAAGATGCAGGAGAGCACCCTGTCGTGTACCTCAGTAGAAAGCTATTACCCCAGGGAGGTGAGCTACACCTCAACCATACAATTTCACTATCCACTACCGGCCCAGTAAACAAAATTGCAATGCCAACGGGTTGCCTTGAGTTTAGCCCTTAGCAGAAATCCAGACATCCCCAGGCTGAGCCCAAAAAGGTCAAGCTGGGTCTGTTGGAGTGTTCCACATGGAGGGAGCACTGTAACAGATCCTCCTGTTCCTGAATTATTACTTTGCATTGACTGGCTCGGTATACGAACTTAACCGAACAGATTGCCCCATTTGGTTCGTGTACCGAACAAAGTACCGAATGGATAGACCACCCAGAACAGTCGTGTGTTGCTTATTAACCTACTAGCCCTCACTAACACCTTTGCAAACTGAACAGCCGAACACAAGGCGGCGGCCATCTTGTTTTGCGAACGCACCCAGCAGTGTCTGGTCGTCGAGTGAATGTAACTATTATTGGACACTCGACAACACAAACACTGCTGTGACTTCCACTTCCACATATGTTTATTTCTATTAGTCTAAGAGAAGCGGCGTTTGGTGGGAGCAAACTCGGTTATCTTCATCATTTTGTTATGTTTCTTACTCCCGAAAGAGCCCGACCGCTCAGCCTAAATTCATGGAACTCTTTTGGGCAGGCGCCTCGTGTGTGTTTGGTCTAAACTTTACCCCGGTGGCATTTTGGCTATGTTCGTGAGATCTGAGCCATTTTCTGATATGTTGGACGCGCAGATCTATCTGGGGATATAGGACTTGAGGGGGTACTTAATTGTTAACTGTATGTTTTGGTGTGTTTTTGTTATGTGTGTCCTGGACCTGAAAGTTAATATAATTAAGTGGTGTACCTTACAGTTGTCTACTCTCAGGTCCAATGGGGAATGACCCTGGAATATGTAATAAGAAAACCCTTGCATGGGGAGTTGCATATAAGGCCCGTTGTGGCTGCCATTAAATCAGTTCAGCTTCACCATCAACACAGAACCTCGTCTCGTGATTGTAGGGAACTGCTATACCTGCTTTATTACTGCTTGGAATACTGATTGGGAATACTACAGCATTACTCATACTAGGGGGAAAGAACATCTCTGGCGGTGGAAACCCCTCTTCTCTCGAGGTGGCCGCCATATATTTACTTTACCCAGTGACATCACCTATGGGTGAAACCAAAGTAATACAACTTGTGTGATAATGTGTGATATGAAAATGTACAAAACATATTTTACCCATACATACAGATGCAAGAAAAAAATCAACTCATCAGGAATAAGAATCATGGGGAAAAGTTTTAAAAACACAAAAAATAAATATACTAGAAATGCTGTATTAAAGTAATTTATTCATGTATCATATTACAATTCTGAATGTGAATAATTATTTTCATTGGTGCAGGTAAATTTAACATTCAAAGTGGTATCTCTGTGTTTCAGCGTCTGACTACCCAAATCGCAGAAACTTTTTGTGGAGCAGCCACGGAGTGCCACAGGAAAGGATTTGCTTCCTGTAGAGAACAAAGACAGTACGTAAGAAATGTTTATAATATATGGGCTGGTGTCAACCTTTTTTTTAATCAAATATCAATTATATTACAACTGAATATAAAAACCAACCATATGCCTAACTTAATACACTAATCAGTGCCACTAGGGGAAGCATTCCACTTATACGACTAAGTCAGACTTGGTTTAGTGATATTCAATGTTCTCACTCATTTCATGGGGAATAGCCTCAGAGAAGATGAAATGGAAAAATGGAAGGTGGAGAAAACGGCTGCACGAAGTAAGTCTCAAAGCTGAAAAAATGTTTAATGTTTTTTTTTAATTATATTTAGCGGCAACCTACATCTATATAAGAAGTAGAACACTATAACATTTGGAATACATATTTTTATTACAAAAGCTGTAGTGTTATTTTAACCCTAAAAAAAATTTTTTAGGCGGTCCTAAACACCGGCGGGCGGCATAGAACGGGACGTCCTTTGTACTTACCGGGTCCCCGCCGTTCCCCTGACGGCGGTCGCAATCCCATAATGGCATACCATTTGCAAAAGTAGACAACGCAAGGTATTGCAAATGAGGTATGTCCAGTCTTTTTAGTAGCCACTGAGTCACAAACCCTGCCCAAATTAGCATTCAATTTAGTTTTTAAAAATGTTCACACACAAACAAATATGAATGCTAACTTTGGCCAGTGTTTGTGACTAAGTGGCTACTAGAAAAGACTGGACATACCCCATTTGTAATACCTTGGGTTGTCCACTTTTGCAAATGGTATGCCATCATGGGGGTAATTTTCATTCCTGGGCTACCATTTGGTCTCAAAGGCAACATAACCAGTCTGGCATATTTAAGATACAAATATTTGATGTGACATGAAAGCCCTGTTTCTCCTGAACATAATTATATATGATAAGTGTGGGTGCACATAATATGAAAGAGGTGAATTACGTCTCAACAGACATATAGCGCAAATTCAAGGTTTTGTTTACGTTTTGTTTTGATCACAACTTGTACAATTGGCTCAGTCCTTAAGGGGTTACTATATCTCTAAACTGGTTAGGTTCATAACCTACCAGAGTAGTAGGATCCATAGCTCTGCATCAAATAATCTTTCATCCACTGGCCTTAGCTATTTTTTATATAATTTTTAAATAACCATCTGTGGTCTAGAACATGGTCTTTGCCACTCACTATACATGAAATATTTGTACTTATTCATACCAGATACCTTATTTAGCAGTACTAGCATTTGTATGGCCATTAATTGTAAAGTCTCTCACCACTTGTTTCTTATTAAAAATGCTCTTCAGGCAACAGAACCACCATAGTTCACTGTAATGGTTGCGGTAATATAAACTGTATGTGCGTGGTCTCCTCTTGTTTTGTTGAACTGTCTTGGAGTGGATTGCCAATAACTAGGGCTCTTAGTGACACCCATAGACCACCACTCTGCAGTACAACCAATAATATTGGAGCTACACTTCAGCATTGTCAAAAATATTCTGCCTAGCCTAGATGGCAATGGAAGACTAAGCTTGCTGGTAAAGACCTATGGCACTATAACCACTACTCTAAGCTATAATTGTTATTGTACGTGCAGTCACATTTTAAGATATAGATATAGAATCCTTGGGTAGCCTATTTTTTTATAACAAAACATTTAAATGGCACCATTGATTGTGTTACAGGAAGGTAATAAAGCAATATGACATGCTCTATAATATAACTAAAACATATCATTATGTGTAATATTGCACATCAGAAAGTAACAATGTAACTGCTATACCTTTTATCTTCGTACTTTGTAGAATACACTGTGTCTCATTCCCAGTACATAAAATGGTCTCACTGGTGGAGCAGGTTTCCGAGTCCTCAGATATGCACGCTGGGCATGTTATATTGTTTACTTGAGAGTTGTCATCCGGCACTTAAATGGAAGAAAATTGAGTCAATAAAAGTCAAATGGAGTCCAAAAAACCTGATTCATTATTATATGTTAACTTGGTACAGATCGTGTAACCATGGAGATAATAAAAATGCAAAATGTAGGCCATGTTGGAAAGAGCTATGCCTGGTTTCTCTTAGAACAAGGGCTAACTCTTCTTACTGAATAGCAATTATTCCACTGAAGTCTATGGGGAAATTGCTATTCGGGAAGCAGTGTAGTTCTCTTCGTTATAATATGTTTTCCACTGTCTAATTATTAGCTACCCTAAAGACTTCAATGTGTATTTTCCCTCTGCAAACAGAATCCAGACGTGAAAATGTAAACTATGAATGATGTTTCCTTTCTAGTTTGAATAAATAAAAATATATATACTTTTTTTTTTTTAATATCATGTTATTCTCCTCTTATTTGGATTAGTTTGATTTTGTTGGAGTTCACACCAAGGCCATTAAAAGATATGAATATGCGAGTGCAAGTTGATTCCATCAATCTGTTCAGCCATCTGTTTATCCATATAAATTCTCAAAAGCACAATAAGACGTCAATGTAGTTTAATTTTACTCACGTAAAGGAAAGGTTGGATTACAGTTTTTAGCATTACAACACGAGGTTCCAATCTTTATATTCCCATCAGTAAAGGTGACACTTCCTTCCAGAGTGCATTGTTTTTTTGGTAAACATGACCTAATGAAAATGTGTGAGTCTTCAGAACCTGTACATTGTGTAAGAGAAGAACATTTCAATTAGCATCTAGCCATGGATAGTATTCTTAAATTTAGTCAGTGTCCAGAAATCATACTTAAACGAGTATAAAACCACATAGCCCACATAGCCTATAGATGTTGAATGGAAAACCCACAGCACTAAGAAAATTAGGAACAAACTATGTATGGTTCTAAAGCAAACGTGATGCCTTGATTGTGATATAATAAATGATGCATTCTGATGTGGATAACATTTTATGATTGTCACAGATAGAAAGCAATGCCATTGCACCCCAATTATCTTGCCAATTCCTGAGATTGGAGAAGGCCCCAAATAATTTTCCGTTGCTGTTACAAAACTCAGGAAAACCTGAGTAGGGTGATTATTTATGTTAGAATTATGAAAGTTGTTTACGTTTTGTAGGGTTGTGAAGGCTCTCTTCAAAGGAAGTAAGCAACGAAAAACTTGAATACAAATACAAAAAGATAAGTCCTGCGCTCACTCCCATCACTCCTGGGCGTCAGCAATGACCACAGTACACATCAGCCCCAATACATACAGTAAAAAAACAAAGAAAAAGTTACCTGCGCTCTCTCCTTAATCCGTATGTATATTTAGACAAATGGAGGTCATTAAGTTACTCCAATGGCCATTGGAGGGAATGCCTGCCTGCCAACTTCAAGGCAGACCTCCATAGGCGGGTCCTACACTGACCTTTCACCTTGCTTCCTTGAGCTTCTGGCAAAGCTATCTCTGTAGCTCATTAGAGTGTAGAACACACCTAGGGGGGTCTGCCTGGACGTTGGCAGGCGGGCGTTCCCTCCAATAGCCATTGGATTGTAAAGCGCTGCGGAATTTGTTGGCGCTATATAAATAATAACATAAAAATAATAATACTAAGATAAATTAAATGCGATAGAAGGTTCATTTTTGTGTGGCACATACCGCACACAGTCAACTGAAGTTTTGGTTTGCTCTACAGAGTAATGGCTTTAAGCCCAAAGAGTAAATAAGTGTCATAACCACAAAAAATTGCAATGGGAAGAGCTGAAAACAGTTCAATTTATGGTGGAAAATCTCAAAATACTGGTGCAAGAGATCTAATAATTCTTCTAAATAAAATAAATGGTCATTATGTAAAAAGAAAATCAGCATAGGCTGCAACTTTAAAGGCATCAGAACCAGTTTAAGACCACAGTAGCTGAACTGACAGCACAGCTAACAGAGTCTTTTTTTGCAGTTCAGCTATTTTGATCTTGCATCTGAAATGTACTGTAAATTCCAACTTTAATGAATAGTCATATAAATGATAAGTATTCAATGAATAAGGCTCAATACTTAAAGAAAAGCATTCAACAAGATGGCAGATACAAACACTACAATCAGTGGAAAGGCCGTCCGCAGACAACAGGAGAGAAAGCAAACCTCCATCAGCCCTGAGACCGCCTTGCCCATCTTTGGTACAGTGATTATATTATGAATAACTATAATAGGCCATGTTGTCAGTTGTATACTTTTCTAATATTATAATGCTTTATATTCATATTGAAAATTAGGTTTTCGCTTTATATAATTCCTATGTTTCTTTGTTTTAATGTTTTAGTTTCACATAGTTTCACATTATTTTATAAAACTGTTATTATTTATTTTTTCTTTTGTTTCAGCTATGTTGGCACTGCTTACGTAAGAAAGGATACAACTCTAAACTCTGTCACTAATGATAAACATAAATATTTTAGGACATCAAGCCTTAATCATCCATGTCCAACCAAAAGGTTACCATTGACATGGATAAAATAAAGCATCAATGATGTAAAGTCTTATTCATACAATGTATTTCCCAACAATATGGTCCAGCAACCCCAGCTTCTATGAGGCATGATAGTGGGACTGACTAATGATTGCATACGTCGGTGAGTTAACCCAAGAAATGTATTTGCACATTCACAGAATGCAGTCAAATAGCTTGTGCATCCTTATATTTTTTTTTTCTTGCATGGCTTCAACTATACTGTCACTGCAGATTTCTCTAATGTCCAGAAGACAATACTGCCAACTTAATAATAGTTCTCTAAGGGACATCTATGGGAAAATCGTTAGCCATTTGCTATAATAAAATAAATAATACCTAATTCAAAAATAATGCTGTTATGAGTGAGGTAATGTTTGATACAAAGAAACCTATCATGTGTTAAGCATTTTTTTGTTTCATACATTTTTCCTAAGCACACGTTGTTTTACTGGTATTTAAATGAACAATGTACCTGATTTAGCTAGTACATAATGCGATGCACACACGGAACCAGCAGGGCAGGTCACACTTTTGCCAGTGCACGATGAGCCTCCTAGATTAACACAATTTACACAGGACAGGGCATAACCTGGAAAGGAAAAATAAAAGATCAGTAAACACAGAAACACAATTAGAATGCTGTACAATTAAACTAGTAAACCCATGTAAAAATATCTGAAACCAAGTCACAAATCTTGTTATGGCATCACAAATTAAAGAAATACTCCAAGTACAACACCTGCTATAACTCATCTGACACTCTCAATATGGCCCTGCTTAGTTCAGAAGAGCTAAAAGGATTTCCTGCAAGGAGAATAGAGAAGCAGGGACTGGGCCCAGGTAAGTTGCCCAATCTTTCTAAAAGGAATTGACAGATTATACTAGAAGGGTTCCAGGGCACTTGTGGCACCATAATTACTGTAGTGTGCTATAGTGGTTATGGCGTTTGGAGTGTTCCTGTATACAAACACATAAAGGAGCACTCCATGGAAATATTTGACTCTCTTCCCCGCACCAGCCACAGAGTCAGAGAATAAGAAAGACTCAATTAATTATATATATTATATCATGGTGTATATTGCATGCTGATCACTGTAATTTTCCTACTACTATACGATGAATGATCAGCAGGCCATCTGTGTTGACACAGACAATAATCAATAATTTTTGATTCATATTATTTTCTTCAGATTAGATCTATTATATGCTTAAAAAGAAAAATGGAAATCGAAATCGACTTGACCACAGAGTCACCAAAAGGATCTGTAAAATCCTAAAATCTAGGGCTGAAATTAAAAAAAGGAAAATACACATGATCTTTATAATTGTGTTTTCTCCTTACAATCTTTTGTCTTAAAATACTATTCCCTTCTTGATTGTAAGTACAAAGACACGGTTCTCTTCTTTTTGTTTTCAGTATGTCTAATTAAGTATCTGCTGCTTGTATAATTAACAATGTTAGTTTTGCATTAAATTGCAAGACCCTCTAGATCAGAGTGCTATTGGTAAATTCTGCGGATTATAAACAGGAGGTCTGGAGGCAATTTCTTAACAGCTTTTTGATTTGCAAGCACACGCTTCAGCGTTTTCAATGTTTGATTTGAGTTAAAATTGGCAGTGTATGGGTCAATCTTGATCCTCCCTTTCCATGATAAGAAATTGGCCACTGCTGTAAGTTCAAGGTGATAAAATTTTTGGTTAAATCCTTAAAGGTTATCCGTGATGATCCTCTCCAGTGCAGTTTACATTTTTTCATATAAAATGTAAAAACAAAATGTTCTTGTTTTCTTTTTCTAGCATATAATAAAATTCCTCAATTTAAGTGATTTGTGAGGAGCTTCTAATATGGATTGGAGTTAAATCACTTCTGTTTTTGTTTATGCAGCCCTAGAAACACCCCCCCTGGCTGTGACTCACACAGCATAAAAATATAGTTTAATTTTCATTCAGATGTGAATGTACATTAGAAGTTTTTATGTTCTGCTCTGTAAATTGAACTCTAATCACACACACAGGAGGCTCATGCAAGGTCTAGCAGACTATTAACAGTGTGGGAGATATACAAAATGAAACACATTGTGTACTTAATGAAATTTAAACATTAGATCTCACAGTTCCAGCTCCGTTCGGTTGTCCGTACACCCCTTGTTCGTTTCACGAATGAATGATGTGTGGTCCTCCTTTTAAACCTACCTGAACACCGACCACTTCTGACTTGTTAAGTTCAAACGAGCAATTAGCTTAAGTGCTTTCCCTTGGTGGCCACCATTCGTATAACTGAACACATGTGTTCTAGTAAATGATGGGCATTTTGTCTCCTGAACGTAGGCAGAGGTAGACGGTTTTCGAATTCGTGGAACCCCGGGAAAACTGTACTGCTGCCCGTTTAGCTCTCAGAAAAGTTAGGAGAACTACCGACTGGGGGGAGCATTCGCTCCCTAAAAGCCAAGGGGAGCATTACTCAGTGTTTGCACAGGAACTACCAAAAGTGGACCAAAATAGTTCATCTAGATCTGAGTGCTATTTGGACAACTTAGGGCACTCAGATCCGGGCTATACAGGGATATAATACTTGTGTGGTTTCTGTGTATTCTGATTGTATTTTGTATTTTTGATGTTTCAGGTATTTTATGCATGGTTACCAGTCTTTGACACAATTGTCTCCCGGACACAGGGATGCCTGGGAGGGGTTTGTGTTTTGTTGAAAGGAGACCCAATGCTGGGGTCTGTGCATAAAAGACCGAGTGTTGTATAATGAAACTCAGTTGTACTCTCAGAACTGTGTGTCATCCAGTTACTGGGGAGGAGGAGAACACATTTCAGTGCCTTGTTCCTAAATTCCAGTTACCACAGATCCAGCAGAGGAAGTCCTGGTCAAGACTAGCGATTCGCTACACTCACTTTACAGGAGGTGTTTAGGAAGGCGGTGTAAGTAACATGCAGTGAGATGTGACTAGGGATGCATAAACAAAGGGATTTAACTCATAAATTGCAGAGATTGAGGAGTGAGGCTACAGACGCATGATCTATATATCAAAACTGCTTTATTTAGCTAACAAATTTTAGCACTTTCCCCCAAGATAGCACCTGCTCCATTATAGATCTGTCAGTCTAGTGCAAAATATATACATAATATAAATATTATAGATATTTTGCAGTACATAGATATGTGCATTTGTTGTTATGGTTTGTAGATCAATTCAGAAGAATTAACCAACAGAAGGAAAAAGCGAGGGACAGTAAAAAAACAAAATCTGTATTTATAATATATTATGAATAAATATTATACATAATATGCAATATATATATATTTATTTGTTTGCTGCTTCTCCTTCTTTCCCTCTTTCCCACATTTCTCACTTAATCTGTGAATGACATCAGCATTTGGAGGTTGTGCCCTGACCATCAATTATCTTCTTTTTTTTTTTCTATGAAACTTTTTTTTATTTGGCTCCACAGATGTATCAACAAATTGCAAATCGATTAAACAACGTGTCCATTCCTTGTTTCATTTGTTTTGTGATTCAGTCACATGATGAATCAGAATTAAGAGATTCAGAACACTCGCCAATCGAGCCAATTTGGCCGATCAATACAAACGTCTAGTTTTAAATTGGACTCTTGTCTTGCACTTTATATTTACAATGTTCAAGCTGGCATTACTATTTTAACACTGCACAATTTTTCCAAAATTACAGGGTCATCCATCTTTCTTAATCTCAACAATCTTAACCTAGCCTTGGCATTCTATTTCTGTTTAAACAGCCTCTATCTACTCCCCATTTAAGTTTCTCAACAGTTTTCCTGGTAAACAATAAACTGCAGGGTGACAATGCATCGCTTATAGATATTAATGTTTGTCTTATTTCACGCACACCCCACCGGACATACCAATTGCTTCTTCAGTCCCACTGCAAGGCTTCATGGACCTCAGCCATAGATACAAAGGTCCTTTAGCCTGTATTTGTGGGAGACGTTTTCCTTATAAACATCCTCCTCTTCCGGCAGTATCTCTGTGTTTGGAAGCAAACAACCCCACCCTTAATTTTCACCCTTTTTATTTTTCTCCCTCATCCTTAAAACTATTTTACCTAGGTGATTCCTCTTGCAGGCTAGTAACACAACGTGTTCCTTTACATCCCTGCTGACATGTACCCCTTTCTTCTTCAGTTTCATTGTCCCTGACCACAAAGGGTGTATCGTAGTATCATAAGATTATTTCAAACATGTTGAGTGTGTGACCTATTCCAGTGCAGCTGGTTTTTTGAGCTAAGACCTGGAGAGTTTGCATAGTTACTTAGCGACCCAAATGTCAGTTTCTATGTCTACAGCGTCTGACTCAGTGTAAGCTCCGGGCAGAGCATTTACTGATCAAAATGTCTGTGGATTATACTTCTAAAGAAAATCAATTAACAAGAGAAATAAAAAAAAAACATGTTTCCACAGAACAGTGACATTTACAAAATATTGCAAAATGGAGCTAAACTGGAAAATATCAGATTTACAGGAATGTCCCAGTTCAAGTAGTTTGATTTACAATATGTAATTCAGTTGTCAGTTCAACACAATCCATTGATTGGTGGATATACCTTCAAAGATGTTTTTATTAAACAATTTCTCAAAATTCTGCTAAAAGTATCAGTAAATACACGTGCAATGCAGTACTGTGCACATACCTTTGTTTTCTGTAGATTTATCAATAGAAACAAAACCTACAGCATACTGGAGCTTACTTTTTCATTTAAGAACATTCTGAGGTTAGAGGATAAAATGAGGATAATATGTTATAATTATACTTTTAGCCTAAAATACATGAGTGTGCTTATAATGTGGAAGATATAACACTAACTATTACATTATATATCTATACAAGAAATATCGACCAATGTTATTATTAATTTATTATGTGAGGAACATGAAGATTGGAATCACAAAAGATTTTGTCCGTATGGTTTTGGCTTCTCTTATTCACGATGTGCTCGGACATTAAATGACACTAACACCCACACTAGGGAACTACAGCCAATACTGTGAGTCTTTTCAGGTCTTGTCTTTTAGGTTTAGTAAGAAATCCCACTCAGGCGATCTCTCAAAGCCAGACATACAAAGTATCAATCCATATTAAGGTCAAAAGGCAATTTGGATGGTTTTCTTCCAGAACCTGAGACTTGACTCAGAACCATTTTTCGAATGAATCTGTCTTGGTCACTTTTGTAACCACCTTGCTTATTGAAAGTTCTTTACCATCTACAGTTTTACACATCCGAGTAGAGAAAAGTAAACTACTCTATTATAATACTATTATTATTATCATCATCCGTATAATAACCTTGCTTCTCAAATAGAGACTTACCTGTTGTTACTAGAGCTGAGAGGACATATATGAATGCCAGAAGAGTGTTCATTCTGTAATGTTTCGTCTGTAAGAATGTGTAAAACAGCTCGCGAGAACCTGACACTAGCAGAAAACTCTAGACCTTTGTGTAGAGACACATAATAAAAATGGGTGGGGAATAAGGCTACAACAAAAGAATGAGGAAACAGTTCTAAAGTGAAAATGTAAACCAAGCAAGAAATGTCATAATGGAGCGTTGCATCATCAACTAAGAAATCAGAGTAAAAAAAAGTCACACTCTTTGATCAGTTCCAAACATTTTTTAAATAAAAATGATAAAGAGGAAATAGTCAGTTGTTCAATCAAAAAAAAATCTGCCCAGCTTATATACCTTCTGCACAAATATATATTTCCGAACATTCTAGTGCTCATAGATATCAGTGTTTAAAACCATATATCCACCACAATTTAAGAAATCCCAAATCATCATGTATACTACACAGATATCTCGGCAATCTCGAATGTTCCTTGATACCATTATTAATTTTAATATACCTTTTATTTCATACCAATTAATTAAAAACAGACATAAAACAGGTTTGAATGTAGTATTTTATCTTTTCCACATATTTTATATTACATTTTTTTTATAGATTTTACAACAATATATTCAGTATTATAAAATAATATAAAATAAAATGATAAACCTCAAAAGAAATGACCAAAAGTTAAGTAAAAATAGGTCTATTTTTTTCCGATAAATCCTACCTTGGTCTCTTACCATGAAACACATGTGCATATAGCTAATTAATAATGTAAAGTGAGTCTAAAATATAACAGGATTATATACTAAAGTAATAATTGTTTGGGATTCAAAGTGAAATCTAAGGCACACAGTAGCTAAAATGGAAAAATTCCCAAAGTCAGCCATGCTTCCAGTCCAACTATTTTTCTCATGTTAGTAAATAATCCTGAAATTGTACTTAATTCTAAATCCACTGTAACCTTATCTGTCTTGTGTCTTGATTGTAAATGCACTGTAACCTTATCTTCTTCTCTTTCTTTTTGAACTGCACAGTAAAGTCAGTAAAATTGAGCTGGGTGCAGCTTTATGGAAAGAGGCAGGTTCTGACTAAGAGATGTAACACTCAGAAATATCGTAAAAGAAAACGACAGTCAAGGGCGTGCACTAATTGTCTCTTTAAAGTGTTGTAGGCATTCTTCTTTACCGTACGGCAATTCAGAATTTCTAATGGTCCCATTATACTTATAGCAATGTTGCAGAACCTGTCAGTCAAGTTGGCCGGGTGCAAAGCAACATTTGAAACATGAAAAAGAAGAATACTTTGAAAATATCATATCAGATTGTTCCGTGTCAATTAACCTGAATTGCCATTACTTGATGCTAAAGGCTACATACTTTTATACTTTTTTTCCTCAGGCTAAATGCCATCTAATTGCTTTGCGTACTAATTCTAATAGTTAAAGATGATGACATTTATAAAAGGTCAATGTCAATATAATCTTACAAAAAAAATGCAGAGAGGAACACTGCTCAAAGAAATTAGCTAGTATTTAAATTTAGTTTAGTCAGCAATATATGATAAGGTTTGATTTTCTCTTTTATTATTTAAAGCGGCAGCCTAAACACCATAACTACTACAGCCCATTTCAGCTGATTATTGGTACCTCCCCCTCAGTTCTGCGCCAAACTGTTTTGAATTGTATGATACAAACAGAAAATCTCCCAGGTGCCCATGACTGAATCCTTACTTATTAGGTTGTTAATGTGGACGTTACACTCATTCATAGTTTAGGACAGGATTGTTTGGCTGAGAAAAAAAAAATATTTTAGAATCCCCCCAAAAATGTAATTCAATGGAGCTCATGGAGGACTTGCTGAGGATTCTTTTATGAAAGCCTTCCCACATTTTGAAGCTTAGTCACAGAGTGATTGGTTGGCTTGCAAGTCACAGACTACAATTGTTGCACAAAAGTATATGTTTCTTTAAAGTAGACCTCCTTTCCATTTCACACCATTCTATGCTAAATTTTGCTGAATTATTGTGTATCACTGACAATTACCTCATCTTTGCCAGGTTTACAAGGCCAGAATTAGATGTTTTCTGATTTACATTTTCACACTTGGAATTCCAATACATCTAAAAATGTAGACACATGACGACTCTCGTTGGATGTATTTTGAGCTTTATTAATTATCAATTTTTATTAAATTAATCACATTATATAATATCATCTTTTTTTCATCACATGCATTGCATTTATGCTGGGTATTTTGAAACCTTATGTGTAATACTTTTGTCAAACCCTTGAAATGTAGCTAGCTACAGTCACAAAAAAAACAATATCTCTGCAAATTATTTTGTGTAGATACTGGGCACTACAGATTTTAAAAACTTTTAAAAATTTGACTATGTTTCACATTCAAGTATAATAGCATTTCAGGAACGTCCCATTGCTCTCCCACATTTTAACAATTCACACTATTTAAAAAAACTGAATGTACAAGTTTAATGAGATTTAGGGATAAGGGGTAGTTATGTTTATGGGAGTACCTGTATTTAAAAAGATGCAAATTGTAACTATCGTCTCATTCAGCCATTGGCTGAGCATAACGAGGTAACAATTTACTGCAGATATTTACTCTAAATCATGCCATCCTTAATCGTAAATACCCTGAACCCCAACATTACCATATTGGTAACCCTGACCAAAAACCAATCTTAACCCCAACACTAACTGCAACTTTAAATCATTACCCAACATTAAACATTGCAGAATGTGACAAGAAATACAACTGATTGTAATTCCCTAAATATGATGTATGAATAACTAAAACGTATATAGACTCAAGACATTATTAATCATTAACGATGTACCTAGACAATTTGCATCACAGTCAATGGAAGTTTTCCCCAGTTGTGTGCAAATACAAGGGTCTAGATTTATTAGCGGAATAAGGTAAATACAAATAAAATTAACATAGGAATTAAAAAGTTGCAGTGCAGATCAACACATCCATTGGCGCAGGTGAACTTAACAGATGTACGTGGCTGGCTGGTGTCTATCAACTGGGTCTCAGCATCACAAATGCTTTTTGTGATACAACCACGAAACGCGTTAGGATTTGATTGGCTTCCTATAGAAAAAAATATATTACATGAAAGAAAATAGTTGAGGATGAGTTCTAATAACAGGTAAATCTTTTTTTTTTTAAACAAATGTCAAATGTAAATATTTTTGTTTGATTGCTTTGAAACAGTTTTATATAAATTAATTTCATGATGCCTTACAATGTGCTCTTACATTGTTCTCTACTTGCCTCTCCTATGCTCTCTCAATGTCTTCCTTTCAAGCATCTAACATTAACAATGGGTGCAAAAAAACACATTTTACACTCTGATTGACCACCGTTTTGTTTGCTGTAGACTTCATGTATTGGGGATATTGTGAGTGCTTTGAGTGATAGTTTCAGACCAGTCACAGTGCCTATTAATAAATAGTCCATTAATAATTCAAGTAGTATTATGTTTGTTTTACCTGTTAAGGTGGTTGTTTTCTGAAGACATATGTTCTCAATCCCAGTACATTTAATGTTGTTGCTGGTTGATGATGGACAAGTCAGTCCATTTAACTGAGTACTATCACCAGGTACTTAAAAAAAAAAAAAAAAACAATCACTTATCAACCATATCTGTCATAACACTATGTTTAACTCACATTAATTAAAAATATATGTATATACATCATATAGACAAAGGTATTGGGGCACATGATCTTTACACCAACAGGGACTTTTATAACATTGCATTCGAGATGCATAGACATTAATACAGCTTTAATGAAAATGATTTAACCCCCATTGAAAACCATGTTTATTGTAAAAATTCACAGACTTCCAGCTGTTTGCAATAAACACATGGAAAAAAAGGATTTGAATAGCTCAACACAATGAATTTCTCAACTGAAAATGCAAATTATTAAAACTTCTTCAGTCACAGAATAGTTTTTCTTTTAAAAACACCTAACCTAGGCAAAATAATGGGTAAATGATCATATATTGCATAAGCCTGCCACAATGTCAGTGTACCCCATTTTTGGCACATCCTATCCTAATGCCTGCTTTTGTGATATTAAACCATTTACTTGGGGAAAAAACATCACCTTGGGGCTCTCTGCAGTACATGACTCAAATTAGCCCTGGGATGATCTATCATCAACTCTGTCTGTCTATCAGCCTGCCTACCTGCCTATCTAATCTTTTTAAAATAACATTCAGTACACTAAGTGATTTAATCTCAAAACAGTGAATTGTAGTGATGCCTTTGTTACTTTTTGTTACTACAGGGAGTGCAGAATTATTAGGCAAGTTGTATTTTTGAGGATTAATTTTATTATTGAACAACAACCATGTTCTCAATGAACCCAAAAAACTCATTAATATCAAAGCTGAATATTTTTGGAAGTAGTTTTTAGTTTGTTTTTAGTTTTAGCTATGTTAGGGGGATATCTGTGTGTGCAGGTGACTATTACTGTGCATAATTATTAGGCAACTTAACAAAAAACAAATATATACCCATTTCAATTATTTATTATTACCAGTGAAACCAATATAACATCTCAACATTCACAAATATACATTTCTGACATTCAAAAACAAAACAAAAACAAATCAGTGACCAATATAGCCACCTTCCTTTGCAAGGACACTCAAAAGCCTGCCATACATGGATTCTGTCAGTGTTTTGATCTGTTCACCATCAACATTGCGTGCAGCAGCAACCACAGCCTCCCAGACACTGTTCAGAGAGGTGTACTGTTTTCCCTCCTTGTAAATCTCACATTTGATGATGGACCACAGGTTCTCAATGGGGTTCAGATCAGGTGAACAAGGAGGCCATGTCATTAGATTTTCTTCTTTTATACCCTTTCTTGCCAGCCACGCTGTGGAGTACTTGGACGCGTGTGATGGAGCATTGTCCTGCATGAAAATCATGTTTTTCTTGAAGGATGCAGACTTCTTCCTGTACCACTGCTTGAAGAAGGTGTCTTCCAGGAACTGGCAGTAGGACTGGGAGTTGAGCTTGACTCCATCCTCAACCCGAAAAGGCCCCACAAGCTCATCTTTGATGATACCAGCCCAAACCAGTACTCCACCTCCACCTTGCTGGCGTCTGAGTCGGACTGGAGCTCTCTGCCCTTTACCAATCCAGCCACGGGCCCATCCATCTGGCCCATCAAGACTCACTCTCATTTCATCAGTCCATAAAACCTTAGAAAAATCAGTCTTGAGATATTTCTTGGCCCAGTCTTGACGTTTCAGCTTGTGTGTCTTGTTCAGTGGTGGTCGTCTTTCAGCCTTTCTTACCTTGGCCATGTCTCTGAGTATTGCACACCTTGTGCTTTTGGGCACTCCAGTGATGTTGCAGCTCTGAAATATGGCCAAACTGGTGGCAAGTGGCATCGTGGCAGCTGCACGCTTGACTTTTCTCAGTTCATGGGCAGTTATTTTGCGCCTTGGTTTTTCCACACGCTTCTTGCGACCCTGTTGACTATTTTGAATGAAACGCTTGATTGTTCGATGATCACGCTTCAGAAGCTTTGCAATTTTAAGAGTGCTGCATCCCTCTGCAAGATATCTCACTATTTTTGACTTTTCTGAGCCTGTCAAGTCCTTCTTTTGACCCATTTTGCCAAAGGAAAGGAAGTTGCCTAATAATTATACACACCTGATATAGGGTGTTGATGTCATTAGACCACACCCCTTCTCATTACAGAGATGCACATCACCTAATATGCTTAATTGGTAGTAGGCTTTCGAGCCTATACAGCTTGGAGTAAGACAACATGCATAAAGAGGATGATGTGGTCAAAATACTCATTTGCCTAATAATTCTGCACTCCCTGTATTTTACTAAAATCTTCAAAGGGAAAATATTAATGAACTGATTACTTACAGCTCTGCTATTTTGTCTTAAAGCTTTCAGTTCACCGAATGTTCAGTGAAAGATCTGATACGAAAAATTATCAACACACTTTTTATGCAGAGGTAACACAAACCCTATTAGTTAATTTTGGTACATTGTTTTTTTATTTGCCAACTGGTTATTGATAGTATTTGAGCATAAAATAATAACGAATCCTGCGTTTATATTGCAAATTTTGCTTTTCTATTGTGGCTAGCATCGAATGTGTTTCAGTATGTCACATTCTAATGCTATGGTTTATCAGATTTGTTACTCGTTTCACTGACATGTCAGAGTTCTAAATATGGAATGAACACTCTTAAATTAAGGACTAGATCTTCAAGTTAAACTCAGGTCTTAGAAGCCAGAAACATAACCTACTGAGCTATCTTGCTAGCAATTACAGTATGGCACCTAAGAGGTAATTTGGTATTTAGGGTATGTTAATGCTCATTGATTTACACACAACTTACACACAGGGATGGATGGAGTACAATTGTAAGTGTAGCAGCATGAGGTTCCGATCTTTGTCCTCCCACCGCTAAACGTAAAGCTTCCATTCGTATAGCACCATGATTTCTGAATGCATGTTCTTGAAAATATTTGGGAGGTTTTTCCACCTGTTTTGGAATAATTTTTGCATGAAGTTCATTCCAGATTCAAAGGCACCAAAAGTCTGCGTAATTCAATGCAATATAATTATAATACACATAATGCAGCTGAACATGGTAATAAAGTCTGCATAACTTGAGTTGGGTATCTACTATTAAGCTAATTTACTTGTTGATATAGGCAATGCTCCTTTCCAGTTCTAATAGCCAAGCAAGAAACACAACTCTGAGTAATATAGAAACATTTGTTTCTCTAGTATCCCATCAGACTCCTCAGTTCTAATAGCCAAAACAGGAAATAAGCATTAAATAAGCAGCAAAAACGAGAGCTTCGGTGCATCATCGGAAATAGTAGAGGTTTATTAACCTTTTCACTTTGCAGCCAGCTGTGGCAAATTGACATCCTAGAGCCAGGTTTAAGATAAATTTCATTCTGCAGTACTGGATATTCCATCTGAGTATTTCAGGGTAAGAACTGTAAGATGGTTTTTATCTCACCAAATTTACGGTTAGTGACAAACTTGCTAAGTACAAATGCGGTATTAAAATTGTGCTGTAAGCTGCTTAATTTGTTTGGGGCTGAGATGGCAACAGGATGCACTGTGGGAAGAAGGCAGGCTGGTGGAGACAGTGTTATGCTCTAGGCAATGTTGGAAACCTTGAATTCTGGCATTCATGTGTATGTTAAATTAACATGTCTAAAGATTGTTCCAGACTACATACATCCCTTCATGTCAATGGTATTCTCTGGTGGCAGTGACTGGACTTAAAGGATCTGCTGCTCATGAACTAGTGCCAGATACCACAGGATTCCATGCCTTGATGTATCAGAGCTGTTTTGGCAGCAGAAGGTCACCTGCATTATCTTTGGCAGGTGGTTTGACTATTGTGGCTGATCAGTGTATATTTAATATATATATGATCAGAGGTGTAACTAGAAACCACTAAAATATAGAAACAATAATAGCCCTGGACCTCTCCATATGCTTCCCTCCCCCCCCCCCCATATCCCGTCCGTTTGTCTAATTCTCTCCCACAGACCCTCCATGAGTCTCATCCCCCACTGCTCCTCCGAGTGTCTTTTTTTTATTTTAAATTCTTTATTTTTGTGGTGCAATTATTTTTACATGCTTTTTTAATGCCGCAGCAGCGGTAACAAGAATAGTAAAGATTATACAGGTACATGGCATATACAATTACTGCACACATTTTTAAATTTAGTAGACTAAGTAGCTGAGTCACAGGCTTATCCAACATGTCTATGTTTCTTGTAGTGAGTCATTTTATTGGATTACCCAACCATATGATTGATTATGCTAAAGTGAGTTGCATAGTAGGCTTTTAAGATTAAATTTATACAGTGCTCATTAGGTTAGACCGCAGGTCCTATGTTATGCTAACTAAGTGCACTGTGGTTGAGTGTGTAAGTGTTACGCAAGCTTAAACCAAACTGGCAAACAATATGCATGAGATGTCGTGGAGTGGACTCATGCCATTTTAGGTAAGCGGAGTGTTGTTGCTTCCTCCTGCCTGCTTCCATCCAGCAGGGCCTGCGTGTACAGCAATAGGCCGTGGTGGACCGTGATGACCCCCGGTGGTCCAAAGGGAAGGATCTATGTCTGCAGGACTTCGGGAAAGGGTGACCGGCCACGTCCCCTGCCCCGCATCAACTAGGCCGCAAGTCGGACCTGCCTCGGCTAGTGTTCGGAGAGTCCATAGTGCCCCAGTCTGGTCCCACCAAGGGTTCCATGGGTAAGTGGTGAACCCAGTTAACTCGTCTGGGTTGTGACCTAAAAAACTTAAAATCAGCCATTTAGCGGGAGCTCCGTTCGCATTTGACTTCTCCACATGGCGGTCATGCTCCACCCCCCCTTCGAGTGTCTTATCCCCCTTACAACCTCTCATTCCCACCAGCTCATCCATGGGTCTCATTCCCACCTAGCTCCTTCATGTGTCTTATTCTCCTCCAGCCACACCATCAATCTCCTTTTCCCCATCTCCTACATGCGTCATAATCTCCCCAGCTCATCCATGTGTCTCATTACTTAATGTGTC